AAGCAGTCCTCTAGTTCGGTTCCTGCCACCTCCAGAAAGATCTTGGGTGGCAGGACAAGGCTTCTGATGGAGAATTTACAGGGCTTCTGGCACTTCTCTTTCCCCCATTGGTACCTTTGTGCTGGCTGCTTTAGCTCATCTTTTGCCTTAAACATTTAAAAAGTTAAGGATGTAATTTTGCAATTGCACTTCCAAAGTTGGATGGAAAAAGGCAAAAAAAAAAAAAAAACCCCAAACAAACCTCCCAGCATGCCCAGACGCCAGGGACACAGGGCACGGGTTTTTCCAGTGCTGACCTTTTCCACAGAAAATCTTCTGTTTCCTAAATTGGATGCTGGCACCTATGGCATATTAGACCAAAAAATTAAAGTCCTCTATGTTAGCCTTATTGCTGCTTCTGCTCGTATTTAATTATGCTAAATCAAATCCTTTTCTAGCAATTTTCTGATGCAAACTCAACATTTTCCAAAGGAAAAGATCCTGTGTAAATTACCCTAATGCAATTAGATCTAATGCAAATTAGCCTAAACTGGAAAATATTCCAATTTTGGAAAACTCATAGTATAGGCTCCTTGTAGCAGCATTTTAACTCAAGGAACTTGCAGACTGGGCCAATGTTCCCACACCTGTGATTCCTGTGCCTGTCCAGCGTGTGCTCTGACAGAGGGCACAACCAATGCACAGCGGCTACAGTGCCATGTGGAGCAGAGAATGGATGAATGGGGTGGAAGAGTGAGCGGCCTTCGTTCTGTGGCAGTGAAGCGCTGGAATAGCATCCAAAAGTCACTGCAGCCACTTAATTCCAAGGCCCAGGCAAAGTAGCACAGCTGACCCCATCCATGCCTGATTCCACTAGTGCGATCAACGTAACGTTTCATCAGAAACACTCGATCTTCATGCCACACACACGGTGGGTGTGCTGCATTCCTTCCACCAAGAATGGTGATGGATCCTCTTGAAATCATTTAGTCAAGTATTTGTTCATTGAGGGAAAAGTGGAACAGGATAATAAAAGGAAGGAGGAAAAGAGACAAGGAAAGGGACAAGAACCTCGGTGTAATAAATAGGTTGGTCTTTAAGACTCCACAAGACAGATTCAAACCCTGATGCTTAACCAATGCGATGACCCAACCATTTTCTCTGATTAAAAAAAAAGCAGGCAGGAGAATACTTTTTGAGGAGGGAAATTAATGATGAAATTCTAAAAATGTGTGGCTGCATGGTATTTCACAGCTGTAAAAAAATAAAAATAAATTCACTCACCAGAGAATTAACGGTTGGCTATAAAGACATATTAGTGTCCTGTTTTGTTCTGTTTATTTGGGGTTAGGGTTGGATGCAGGGGCCCAATCCATGTGAGTACCACAGTGGGGGCCAAAGGATTGTAGTCCCCTATCCCCTCGATAGGAACTTGAGCCCCCGTGCAAATTGCACTGACAATTAGCAGAAGGGACCTGAGCAAAAGGCTAAAACTGCATGGCTTAGATGCACATGCAGTTCAGCCCTTAGCCTGCAATCCCTCAGGGATTTGCCTAGGAGTAAACCTCACTGAATTTGTTGGATTTTCTTCTAAGAAAAGATGTCTGGGCTCCTTCATAGAGCATGTCTACATAGGAAGCTAAAAACTAACTGAAGCCCCATGGCATGGATGGGAAATCTTCTGGGGTGGTGGAGCTGGAGAACCACCTGCCCATCTCTCCTTGGGCTGAAGGATGTCAGTGGGCGGGACCATGCTCCTTGACAACTGAGAGTGGGAGCACTGCACCCAGCAATCCTTGCCTTATCTCCGATCTCAGGGATCCCTCTTCCTACCTTTCTCCAAGCCAGCAGCAGCCTAGAAGGTGGCTTGCAGAGGAGCAGAGTTTGGAGCATATGGCCTACAGGGGGAACCTAAACCTCTGCGGGCCCAATAGGAGTGTCCATAGACCTCAGGTTCCCCATCCCTACTTACAGCCTAAGAACATCAGTGCAAGGAAGGCCACCAATGTGAATGGCTTTAAAAGGGATTAGACAAAGTTAGTCATTTATTATAGTTATATCCCACCTTTCTCCCATTGAGGAGCTCAAGGTGGCTACATGCCATTCCAGGTGGTCTCCCCTCCAACCTTAGGCCAGTCCCTGACCTGCTTAGCTTCACCATGATGGATGCCTTATGTACCTTCAGACCATAATACTCAGGGCCAGATTTGCAAAATTTATGTAGAATAAGGCTATCCATGGCTGAATTGCTGGGGAGGGAGGCTGCCCTTGCATTCACGCCCTGATGGTTGGCAAGCAGAGTGTTGCGCCTAAATTGGTCTTTTGTCTGATTCAGCACAGTTCCTCTTACCTGCTTAATGCCAGATACCTGCAAAGCACAGAACTGGTTTGGGGTCTGGCAAAGGGCAGAAAGGGTGTCTAGTGAATTTTATCTCAATACGTAGTTATCACTTAGAGTAGAACAGAACAGGCGTAGAGTCGAAAGGGGCCTACGAAACCATCGAGTCCAAGCCCCTGCTCCACTCCCACTTGTGGTCACCCATCTGGCTGCAGATCCATGCCTCTCCAGCTTAGCAAAGCTGATCTGAGATGTGAGCTCAGTGTACAGCTATGCAGGCAAGGTACCTGGTTAACACCTTTCCTGATTCATGTCAGCAGGCACTTCCTACCATCTCTGTATTTATCCATTTAACACCTGGTTTCACTAACAGCATAACCATATAACTCTCTGGTGGTGGTTGCAATTGCTGCTGCTGCTCCTTCTGCCACTACTGGTAGTAAAACTTTGGCAAGAGTGAGCTTTAATCAGTGGAGGTTAATTACAAGCACAGGAACTGAGAATTAAGGACACACCTGCTTCAGGATTTACTGAAATGAAAACAAGTATTTAAAAACACCCTTCTCTTCCAATGATCCAAGGCAGCTTTTGCTCACTTACTACTTTGTAATATACATCCTCAAGATGTGCAGATGGAGGTTTTAATGGTATGTGTATTTCTTGAATGCATTCAATTGCCACACAATCATGCATGTTTACTCAGAGACAAACGGCATGTAAGTGGGCAAAGGAACAACAGAGGATTAATGTTTGAAAAGTTTAATCTCTTAAAAGTTTAATTGGTGGACAGCTCTTGTATTTATCCATTATGAAGTGGCTCTAGCTTTTCATTCAAATGAGGATTTAACATACTGATGAGGTTAGTCATCCAAAATTACAGCTTCTTCATATGGATGTTCTCCACAATAATTGTAGACCAGTGGTTTCCTATAGACTTTGCTGGTGCATAATGTACACACATTAAAAACCTCAGCAGAAGAATCCATTGCTCCCTCAAACAACCCATTCTGCTTCCTGGTTCCTTTTCTTAATACCTTTTTAAATACATGCTGCTTCTATTGAAGAGCATTGTTACTTTGATTTCAGCAGTGGCACATCATGACCAAAATCTGTTTTTCCTTTCATGGTTCTCATTAGCAAAAGTTCTTCAGATACACAATAGTAACCCCAAATTGCAGGCATATAGATTCAGATGCTACCCCGTTCTTTTGCAAAAGTAAGCTGCAATGTTATCCACAGGGACTAACAAAGGAGTGGTGCACATTCTAAAGTAATGCTATTTCAGCTGTGTTTCTGTTTATCTTTACTGCATGTTTTTATCTCTAATAAACTCACTTTCACTTCCTGAAAATGTAGAACAAATTATTTCACTGCAATGAACTCAGCATTATTCTTGTTTAGAAAAACAAGGGCACTGATTAAAAATCCAGACATTACTAAAAAAAAAAAAAAAGTGAACAATGATTCATAGGTATGTTCAAATGCTGTTGAAACAGAGACATCTAATTCTCACAGGTCTGCTTCAGACATCATGAGAGCCACAGTTAATGGAATCCATAGTTTATTTCCCTGCTCAGGGTGTACCTGGTCGATGATTGAATAAGCCACCATTTATTTCCTCAATCCCTAGGCTGCCCACCCCCAGCTCCCTAGGTCCGCTCTGTTGTTGTATGCCAAACATCTCTGTGATGATGTAGCACTGACGTGTCGAATGCCAGTTTAATTTTACTGTGCTTGCCTGTTGCTTCTGTAACTTGTTGAGACAACAAGTGTTGTTGTTGACACAGAACTACAACCCATGATTTAAACACGGCGTTCACAACCAAACAACAGGCCATAGGTTCTGAGTTGTTTGTGGTTAATAACCCATGGCTCATTAGCAGTGCCATGTTCACGCCTTTTGTCTCAAAGAACAAAAGAGGTACCATGTCAAATTCCAAGCTGAGTCTTCCATAAGTGAATGCTTTCTTATTCAAGTGAATCAGTTCCAGCCTTGCATTCTCCTTGAAGTGTTTGAATGGAGAATTTGACAATTCATGGTGGAAAGCTGATTATTGGCTTCTAGGGCTATGCAGAATTGACAAGGAAAATTTCTCAGCCATTTCACCAAAGTTAACGAGACTGGGAAGAGAAGAGAACTGGAACTGCCACCATTTGGTTTTGCCCTGAAAGACCTAGTCTTAGGTGCTTTTTGAATCTGGGGGAAATGAAATGTGAATGTTGGGTAGGTTAAAAAAAGAGACACCCTCCTCTACCACTCACTGGTGTCTGCATTACAGCAGAGAGCAACTGAATTATCTACAGGACTTATCACACCATAAGTCAGCAGCTCTAAAAACCTCTCCAAAGAAAAAGGAATAAAGAGGTATATTAAAATAAATTCACAGTGTGCCATTCCATACAACCTACTTTGAAGGGAACAGCTAGGTTTCTCTCCCACATTTAGGTTTTTTCTTTTCGTAAAAAGGTCTTGGAAAACCTCCCAAACACGTTCAAAAACAGACCCAATGAAATAAACCATGAACAAAGGAGCATTCCTAGGCATATTAAAAGAAAAAAGACTTACAAGTCCCAGCATTTCCCAGCCAGCCAGCCAGGACTTTTCCCTCTCTATTCATAGGACTGGCAACACTCGAGCAGAACAACTGCATGGGCACCTAATCAGAAATAAGCCCCAACCGACCTTTCTGAAGAACCCATAAAATGGTTCAGACAAATGAAGGTGAGGAAGAGCCACTTTCACCTGACCAATTCTTCCTCTCCACTGTGCCATCCAAATGCTCTCCATGCCATTGGGAACTCAGAAACCGTGGTGTGTTCAACAACTCTCTGAAAATGCACTTGGTCACAGGGTTGGGGGGTTGCTAAGGGGCACCTGATTAGCCAGCACTGGACTGGAAGGAGCTTTGCTTTGATCAGCAGGGCCCTTTGTATGTACTAATTTTAACTTTTACATGTTCCCACTTGTTATATCTAAAGAAAGGAGGCTTGTCTGGCTTTAGAGAACATGTTTCAAATAGCTTTCCAACCTTAGTTTGTCCTTGGGAAGAAAAAGAACACATCTTTGTACACTAAGTGCCCGGAACACAGGTGGTGCTGAACTGTTTTTCCATTCTCACCATTAAGACTCTATATAAATCATTCTCTTTTGTAAGAACCAGAATTCCTGCATTGCCTTAGCAAGCTAAAGAACTAAGTCATACAAAGTACAATCGTGTATTTTCTTTCTCCCTCAATAGCCCTTGAAGCCTAACTCTCCCACTCTCAAGGAAGTTCATGAGAAATCATTTAACAACTTTGTCTAAAAAGAACCCCAATGCACAGCTGGGCAAATGATTTATTAAAAGTGAAGCAACCCATCCAAGACATCAATCCTTCTGATTATCAGTATTCCAGGTCTTGCCAAGCAGATTGGTGTTATTATAGAAAGCAGACAAATACTTCAGACAAAAGGTAAATTCCCTCTATTCTGGCACTTTGGAGCCACCGCTAAAAAGGCCCTGCCATCTCTCCAAAAGTGGTATGAATGCTCACAAATGTTCTGACAACAAGAAGACTGGATCCATGAGTGTACTCCCTATGTCTAGCACTGGTTGCAAGTCATTGCAATTGGAGGGCCTCCTATTATTTTCTGGTACGGATGAGAAAATTACAAGCTCAATTGTGCTCAGGTTCTCTTTTACGTAATGTTCATGTCATGGCATCCTAATCCTGCATCAGATCACAAGCTGGGGGGGGGGGGGAACTTAAAAAAGAACATCTTTTCATGCACTGTGAACAAAAATGCATTTCCATGCACAATCTCTACACAGTTAAGCATTTTTGTGCCCCAACAGTAAAATGTGCACATTTCCCAAGCACATTTTGCACTGCATAAGGTGTTTTGTAAGGATTTTTTAAATGTACACATTTTTGCATAAGTTAAAATACATTGTTGAGCACTTTAAAAAATTGTACATATTATGCCTGCATTTAAAACAGATACATTTTTTGGCACACTGTTTAAATACTTTTGATAGATTATTTTGTTTTTTGCAAACTGCATTACAATCTTCAGAATGTATGGCTTTTGAAAGGAAACTATGTAGCAGTTTGTGTTCCAATGCAGGAAGTGCAAATTCATACGTTCACTGTGAAATGTGAACCAACCAAATTTCTTATCCATCCTAGTCCCTGGCCTTCCCCCCATTCTTGCTTCCTTCAGATACACCCCTTTATGTCCATGTAAAGCAGTCTTATTCTAACCATCCCTATTAACAGGCAGTGGCTCCCCCGTGTCCAGGTTTGGTAAGCCCTGGTAAGCTTCGTTGAAATCCAGCTTGTCATCATTTTCAAACCTACCACATAAACTATGGTTTAACCAGCTACAAACCACAAACAGAAACCATGGTTCAATGTTGGCTTACCAAGTCTGGTTTGTTTAAAACATGGCTTGTTGTGATATCTGAACCATGAACAGTGACTACATTCTACATTGCTTTCCCCCGTCAAACAGAGATACCCAGCAACGGTCTAAAAGTGAAAGAGAAATGTGAAATGTATGGGAAAGAAATAAACCAGAAATAGAGACAACCAGCTGTAGGTTGTTTAACTGCAAAATAAGCAAGGAACTATGGCTATGATAAGCCATGGTTTTGTGTTCTGTGCAAATGCAGCTAACGCATCATGCAAGGATCTTTTTCAACCTATTCTCTGAAATTATTTTAACGGGAGATCATGGTAACTGAGACTAAGCAAGGAAAGATTTCCCTCCAACTTTTCTTTCTCTGCATATATGTTTGTTTTGTTTTTGTATTTTTTCTGAAAAAGCAACATTCACAGCAGCTCATACTAAAGTGGAAGAATAAAAATATACAAAAGCAATAAAAACCACATGTGTAATAAAAGGAAGAATGGAAACAGCTGCCTTCGGCATATTGGTCTGGATAAAGTACATAGCTACACCTGTGTGATATTACATAGCAAACTCTTACCCTGTATACAGAAATTAGGAAGGACGTTCTATGCAACAAACTACACTGATAAATTTGAAGTTGGAGGTCTCAAGAATCCATGGCAAAATCAAGAAAGTGGAATTGGGCAAATACAATTCGACACTTGGGCCTCTTAAGAACATGAGGGCAAACTTCCACATCCACACTGTTCAGTTTGAGAATTTCCCTTCAACAAACGCCTAAAGTTCATTCTCTGACTTTCAAAATACAACATATCTGAAGTCATTTATTTGAGGGTTAGCATGCAAACACTCGTGTGTGCGCACACTCAGGGACCATGAAAAGTCCATGCACCTTTAAATTGCATTGAAATCAACAGAACTTTACACACCCTTGAGTGTGTGCATCCCACTGATTTTAGCCACCTTTAACTTTCTCTGCTGTCAATACATTTTGTGCCCCACTTACTATTCCAGAAACAACTACTGCTTTTATCTCCAAGCGCGTACCTCTATGCTGCTCTGGAAACGCATGGCCTGCAGTCACCAACACCTTGCACTGCTTCCCTTGCACAGCTGCACCACTCAAAAATGCAGTGGCAAAATATCACCGATTTGTCATCAAAAATCAGTAGCAAATTGGCTCTGGAATGCTGAAATCGCCCAATTTAGTTTCTTCTCATGCTAAATGCAGACATTGTGCAGTTCTGCAGCAGTTTGCCATAAAAAATCAATGGCAATTCAGCACATTTCTTCTGTAGTTGCCGTACCAAGGCAAAGGTGGCAGGAATGCAACCCACGGGGCAGTCCAAGGGGCAAAAACAGCCCTCAAATCTCTTAGAGTTGCCACCTGCTCCTCTAGGCAGTAGCTGGAGGCAATTTACTCTTGGCGTTAGGAATATACCCTGAATGTGGTTCCACCAGGCTTCTCAGACAATGCTAAGACAAAGGGAAACTGGCTTGTGGCGTGTTTGCCAAAGGGAATGCATGCACAAGTATTTAAAGAACAATTCTTTATTTGGCCCTTCATTACAAATTAATTAAAATTTGGTAAAGCCTTCAAAGGGAGGGGCATGCAAAATTATTTTAGTGGCCAGACTTGCTGTATTTGCATAATCTTGCTTTTTTATAAAATTATGGAATGGTTACTAATTATGGAAATGACTTGTTTTTTAAAAAATTATTATTGTCAACAAAACCAAACCAAACAGAATCATAAAAAGAAAAAACACAGTTTTCTTACATACCTGATATAAATCTCTTACTATAGGTATGATGAAATGCATACCTATGAACATGAAGGTATATGAAATACAGGGATCAAAAGAAATCATTATGCAGAAGCTTTAAGCAAAGCTGACCAAATATCCATATATTTATCCACTGGCAGTTGGCACCACCCTTTAATCATAAGCGCTGCTTTTGCTTTTTCATTAGTTCTTCAGCATAAAGGCCTCCTTTCCTCCGGACATTTTCCAGGAAAGTGGGGTGGGGAACTGAGGACCAGGGCCTGTGTCCACGCAACATGCTCAGAGAAAAGGGGATCGGGGAAGTGTTTGGCACCGAGCCACCGGCAATCTTGTGAGACAAGATTAATTTGTGTCCAGTTCTCAGGACTGTTCTGTAGACAAGTTGGAAGACACATTGTAAAACAATGCGGAGTGGGCAGCAAGTACTCTGAAGGCTAAAGTTAGGACTGGTAGAACTGCCATGTGCATTTACCCAACCACTGTGATGCCCAGCATTTTAGAAAGCCCACCATCAGATGCATGGATATTTTCCTGAGCTAAAGCTGATCCCAAGGATGCCTGTCTGGCATTGTGCAGATGTGGTTGGGGACCACAACTCAAGGTCTCCCTGGCATCCCCACTGAAAAGGGTCAGGTAGCAGGCGACAGGAAGGGCTTCTGGCTGAAACTTCAGAGTAGGTTGAATTTTTTTTTATTATGTTGAAATTTTTTATTTAAATAAAAACATAAGAGTAGGGGTGTAGAACCTGAGAGCAAGGGCCACTTCAGGCCCGTGAAGGTCTCCGGAGGGCCACAGCCCGCTCCCCAGCACCACCTCCTTTCCTCAACCACCAATGAGGTGGTTTCCTAGCTTTTGCGTTGTTCTTTCCATTTTCAAAGACTGAAATGCCACTCATAAGAATTACTGACTGGAAGAAACGGCATTAGTTTTAAATATATTGTATCTTTTGCCATTCTGGCCCCAACACTTTTCCTTTGGACCCACCCACCCCTGGAATGCAGCCTCCAAGAGCTTTTCCAAAATCGAATTTGGTCCTGTGATTGGCAGCTGGAGGAATGCCTGGGGGAACTGGGCGTGGCCAATGTGGAACCCTCAAGTGCCGGGATGAGATTTTCTTGGTTCTAGATCTTTTCATGCACAGGATACAGTTTTGAATTGCTACTTTAAGCCTGTTCTCCTTGAGAGTACTGGATTTAAGAATTCCAAGGGCTGGTCCCAGGAAAGGTTAGTTTGTTTATTTATTTAAACCGTTTATATGCTGTCCCTTATGCATGGCATCTCGCAACAGCTCACAATCAATAAAATCAAATACATTAAAAACAATCTAATCAATAAATATGAACGTTATGGCTAGCTTCCAAATTATGATCTCTCCCTCTCTTGCTCTCTCTCTTGCTGTGTGTGTGTGTGTGTGTGTGTGTGAGAGAGAGAGAGAGAGAGAGAGAGCGCGCGCGCGCATGAGCGAGCCCTGACATGCATGCATGTCAGGTCACTTGTGGAACTTCCGCTGGATTTTCCATAACCTCATACAGCCATTTTCCAAACACATCAGCAGGAAAAAGTGACTTGCTTATAGTTCCCAGAAGAAAACAGCCAATAAGAGCCTTATCCTGAATGCTCTTCTGATCCTGAAGCTACCACAGCTACGCTCTCCTTCTCTTACATCAGCCTTTCCCAACTGGTAACATCCAGATATGTTGGACTACAACACCCATCCTCTTCGGCCAGCAAGACTCCCTGTTCAGATCTTGCCTTGACCATAAAGTGACTGGATGGGGCACCATCGGCACCCAGCACCTGTTCAGCGCCCAGGGCTCAAGCACTCCCAGGTCTTGGGTACCACTGTCTGAACTGGCTGCGCCAGCCATCTTTTTCCCCAGGCATAGCAGCATGCTGCAGTTGCCTACCATTTTAAATTTCCCATAATGCCCAAGGTGCATTACCTGGTGCACGGCAGGTAAATAAGAAATGGCTTATCACTTCTGTCGCCGCCACCTGCCTATCACAAGTAAGCCCACTATGGGGAACCCAGTGAAGCTGGGGCCAATCATGCTGGGAAGTTCTCCAAAAGGAACTCCCTGGAGCAGCGAAGATGCTCTGATCAGCAATCTGGGCATGATAACAGCAATCGGAGACTATTCATTTATTTCTATACTGCCCTTCTGAAGCCAAGCAAGGTGGCTTACCAGAATAAATCAGAAGATGGTAACATAATCATTGAATTATAAAAACATTAAAAACAACCATAAAAATAAGAAAAACCAAAATGTGAAGTGCTCCCATTATTTCATGCCCAAATGGGTATCTTTTAATGTTGAACACAACTTGCCCGATTAGTCCACTTAACTTGATGGACTGCAATTCCGCCATTAAGATTTACACTGTGAGGTGACAAGATTTTTTTTTTAAATGCAGCTCATCATGATAATAAATACCCAACTCGAAATGTATGCTTTGACA